CAAAAGAGAACATAAAGATATGAAAAGGAGAGAGAGAGAGAGAGAGAGAGAGAGAGAGAGAGAGAGAGAGAGAGAGAGAGAAAGACGAAAGAAAAAACTCCAAAGCGAGGTCTTAAATTTCCAGAAGCAGCTTGCCATGACGACTTGATCCCCGATGTATTTTAAACCAACCGTTAGATCCAATGATTTATGTTCAACCAGGGCAACCCCGTTCTCACACTGCATGTTTCTGCTCTGAATATGACCATGACATAATTAAGTCACCTGTGCGCACCTGAAACAAACAAAAAAATACGACCTTGATTTAGGACAATAGTAAATAGCTCAACTGAATAAAGTTTTTTAAAGTCTTTTGCCCTTAACTAGGGCCCGATTAATTAATACCCTACTTTGCCTTGCACCAGTGAGAAGATTGCCCCCCTCCCCCACCCATAGTTCAATACAGGAGCGTGCAGATGAAAATTTGTGCCTGGAAGGAAGCCTGAATATCGTCCCCCCCCCTCCTCCCCCTCCATCAGTGAATGCCTGCCTATGTGACATAGGGATATTAATATTCCTATTTCCTATATATGTAATGTAGGATTTGGGCGCCCTCTCGAGGCTGGCACCCTGAAAGGAAGGGGTGGGGGGCTCCCCTTTGTCTCAAGTTATCACATTACGCCATTGCATTCACGTATTCAAGTTAATGTTTTATTATAATTGTTTTTCATTTTTTGAAGACGCAATTATCCATGACTGTAAATCAAATGGACAAAGAATTCTGTGACTCCAGCTCTTCTGTCCTCGTGACGAAATGTTCAACAGCCAATCATGTTGTCGTGCGCCCTGTCCCAACAATAGAGATGACTGTATTCCCGTCTGTCGCCCCACTCCCCAGCCCCTCTGTGATGTTTTCCCCTTTTCTCTGCCCTCATGGATCAAATAGACAAAATAGAAAGAGAAAAAATATCGCCAGGTGTGAGTGGTTTCGAGAATAGCTTGGAACGCCAAGCTGGCCCGCAATCATTTGGTCAGATTTTTATCATAGCACACCGCTATGCAATTATGGCGGATATATTTACCCATAAATTATTTACAGAAAATCGAAGTGCGACAGTTTGTCGCTACGTGGGCAGTTTATCGATACGTTGTCATGGAAACCAGCCTTCATCAGCGCCCCCCCACCCACCACAGATTAAAATCTATTATATTAAGTTGAACACTTGTGGGAGTTTTTTGTGCTATGTTGTTTGTGGGTTGATATGGAATGCCGTTTGCAGTTAAAGTTAATCTTAAGGTTCCCGAATATAACAATGATGCACACACAAATTATTGATAGCTGGGGGCGATCTCCTTCCTCAAAATAAGGAAATAAGTGCAACCAGAGCCGTTCTTAGGCATGGGCAAGCTAGGCAACCGCCTAGGGCCCCACTACCACCTGCATGTCCATATATTTCAGAAGTACACATTTTCTCTAGTGGCGGAATTATCAATATGGTTAGTGGTTACACGCGAGCAAAGAAGTAACATTGATGAAGGCAGAATGGAGGTGCCGCAGTGGTGGGTGGTGTTTTCTCCTCAGCTCGGGGGAGCTCCACCCCCGGACCCCCCTCCCTTCCGGGGCCCCGACCCTACGCTCCATGCTTAGGGCCCCCAAAATCCTAAGAACGGCTCTGGTACCATCCTCTCCGCACACCCTTGCTGCGTCACTGTATCTCCCATGAAAAGTCCAGGCTTTCTGGTCTTGTGATGTCGTCAGTTGAAAGGGACAAGGTGAAGGTCGTTGATTTTGATGAAGGTAATTAACATTTTTTTTTTTAAATCTCTGAAGACCAGGAGAGTAAAGTTAAAATTGTAAAATTTAATTTTTCAATAAAAAAAGTATTTTGTTACATGTTTTCAATTTATGTTTTTTTTTTGGTGTAAATAGGACGTTATTTATATACAAAACTCGGTGGAGTTCTTAGTGTGTGTGTGGGGTTGGGGGGGGGTTGTTCTGTCAGGAGGGGGGATTAACCATGAAAATACGGCAAAGGGTGACACTAAGCCTACTGACACTAAGCCTACTGACACTAAGCCTACTGACACTAAGCCTACTGACACTAAGCCTACTGACACCTCTGTCCAAAGATCCCCGTGTCAATTTGTGACAAGTGCACCGCGAAAAGGCAATAGATATCTTTTTAAATGTTTCACTCTCTGTTTCCCTCTCTGTTTCACTGTTAAATAAAAACCAGATCTTTTTATGAAACTACAAACGAGAAGAAACACTTCAACAACTTCAAGTTATCACACACAAACTGTGCAGTTAATATAAACTAATAAAAAACTAATTCAGGTCTACGACGGAAGCTGTGTGATATTCATATACGAAAACAACGTTCGAGAAACAAATAAAAAAACATATACATTTGATTATTAAACTGCAAAAATATAGCAGGCTAAACAATGTGTAAAACCATGTACAATACAAACAGTAATTACAGAGTTACTTGGTTTGCACCTAGTCCTCAAGATGTCGCTTAATGTGACAAAAATGATTTTTTTAATACGTCTCACCCCCCCCCCCCCCCACCCCCGATGAGGGGGAATCATGGAGCACGGTTTGGTAACATCGTGTTCAAATAATTTCGTTTTTATAAAATTGTTTTTTTATATTAAAATTGCTCTGTACGTTCTAAATTGGTTAATAGTCCACAAAAAGAATGTTGTATGACTTATAAACAATACGATGTTAAATAAATACAATGTTGGTAGAAACACTTTATTTTGTGGCACTCACTTTGATTGCATTATCGGATGACTTGTGCACTTCTGTCATTATGTGTGGATGACTTTCGCACCTCTGTCTTTGTGGGTGGATAAAGTGTGCGCTTTCGTCTTTATGTGTGGATGACTTGTGCACTTTTGTCTTACTGTGTGGATGGCTTGTGCACTTTTGTCTTACTGTGTGGATGACTTGTGCACTTCTGTCTTAATGTGTCGATGCCTTGTGCACTTCTGTCTTAATGTGGGGATGACTTGTGCACTTCTGCCTTAATGTGTGGATGACTTGTGCACTTCTGTCTTAATGTGGGGGTGAATTGTGCACTTCTGTCTTAATGTGTGGATGACTTGTGCACTTCTGTCTTAATGTGTGGATAACTTGTGCACTTCTGTCTTAATGTGTGGATGACTTGTGCACTTCTGTCTTAATGTGTGGATAACTTGTGCACTTCTGTCTTAATGTGTGGATGACTTGTGCACTTCTATCTTAATGTGTGGATGACTTGTGCACTTCTACCTTAATGTGTGGATGAATTGTGCACTTCTACCTTAATGTGTGGATGAATTGTGCCCTTCTGTCTTTATGTTTGGATGACTGGTGCACTTTTGTCTATACATGTGGATGACTAGTGAAATCCTGTCTTTATTCGTGGATCACTGAGGTAATTATGTCTTTATATGAAGATGATTTGAGCACTTTGGAGTTATTGTGTACACGACCTGTGAACTTCTGTTATTGTGTGTTGAAGTCTTGTGCAATTCTGTCTTTATGAATTGTGCACTTCATTCATAGTATAAATGAGAGAATATGGTTTTACATTGATATGGGTTAATACGACTGGAGACCTGAGACCATAAGGCATCGCATGTCTTTGGGGCCCTAACATATGACACTTAAATCAATCCACACCAGAATCTTGCTAAATCGTCTTAACAAGCATCTTGAGAAGGGTCTACTGCCAGAAAGTCAATGTGACTTCCGGAAGGAACGAGGAACCATCGATATGGCTTTGCCGCCAGACAACTATATAAAAAATGCAGGGAACAAAATGTTGACCTATTCTCTACCTTTGTAGACCTCACCAAGGCTTTCGACACTGTCAGTAGAGAGGGCCTTTGGAAGATCATGGCCAAATATGGATGACCCAGAAAGTTCGTGTCAATGGTACGACTATTCCATGATGGTATGCAGGCTAGAGTTCGGGATAATGGAGAGACGGCCAAAACATTCACTGTAACAAACGGCGTGAAACAAGGCTGTGTACTGGCCTCAACACTTTTCAGCCTTATGTCTTATGTTTTCCGCAATGCTGACCAATGCCTTCAGAGAGGAAGACCCTGGAATTGGCCTCAGATACCGAACTGACGGTAATCTATTCAACATGAAGAGGCTACATGCCAAAACGAAGGTCCTGACAGACACCTTCAGGGACCTCCTGTATCCAGACGACTGTCCACTAAACACTGTATCAGATCTGGATATGCAATGCTGCGTCACAAAATTTTCTAATGCTTGCACAAACTTCGGGCTCACCATTAACACAAAAAAGACTGAGGTCGTATACCAACCAGCTCCTTGAAGACCTTATGTTGAGCCCAACATCCAAATATATGACGAAAGACTTAAGGTGGTGAAAGGCTTTTCCTATCTCGGCAGCACACTGTCCCAAAGCGCGAACATCGATGGCGAGGTTAACCTCCGTATTGCGAGAACCAGTGCAACCTATGGAAAATTGACTAAGAACGCATTGACCAGGAGAGGTATCAGTACTCAAACTAATCTAAAAGTATATCAGGCGACTGTTTTCCCTTCGCTTCTCTATGCTTCTGAAACGTTGACGGTATACCTTGCAAGAATGCTGAGCCACTTTCACACAAAGAGACTCAGAAAAATCATCAACATTAAATGGCAGGACAGGGTCCTAGACACTGAGGTGCTCACACGGTCAGGTCTACCCAGCATCTTTACAATCTTAATTAAGTCCCAGCGTCGCTGGGCGGGACATGTTGTGAGTATGTCAGACGAACGTCTACCAAAAGAATTTTCTATGGTGAGCTCAAACAAGGAAAGCAGTCTGCATCTGATGTGTGACAATCTGGCTCACTAGAGCCCTTACATCTGATGTGTGACAATCTGGTTCACTAGAGCGCCTGCATCTGATGTGTGACAATCTTGTTCAACAGAGCGCCTACATCTGATGTATGACAATCTGGTTCACCAGAGTGCATATATCTGTGTGACAATCTGTTTCACAAGAGCGCCTACATCTGATGTGTGATAATCTGGCTCACTAGAGCACCTACATCTGATGTGTGACAATCTGGCTCACCAAAGTGCCTACATCTGATGTGTGACAATCTGGCTCACTAGAGCAGCTACATCTGATGTGTGACAATCTGGCTCACTAGAGCACCTCCATCTGATTTGTGACAATCTGGCTCACTAGAACGCCTGCATCTGATGTGTGACAATTTGGCTCACTAGAGTGCCTGCATCTGATGTGTGACAATCTGGATCACTAGAACACCTGCATCTGATGTGTGACAATCTGGCTCACTAGAGCGCCTGCATCTGATGTGTGACAATCTGGCTCACTAGAACGCCTGCATCTGATGTGTGACAATCTGGCTCACTAGAACACCTGCATCTGATGTGTGACAATCTGGCTCACTAGAACGCCTGCATCTGATGTGTGACAATCTGGCTCACTAGAACACCTGCATCTGATGTGTGACAATCTGGCTCACTAGAACACCTGCATCTGATGTGTGACAATCTGGCTCACTAGAACGCCTGCATCTGATGTGTGACAATCTGGCTCACTAGAACGCCTGCATCTGATGTGTGACAATCTGGCTCACTAGAACGCCTGCATCTGATGTGTGACAATCTGGTTCAACATGTTTAATATGATTAACGTAAAAAAATGTGACAAATTGATCAAAGGGGGGCGGGGGGGGGGCAGAGGGAAGAAATCGTAAATCTCACTCTTGCATCATGACGTCATCCAAGAGACGTCTTTTTAAACTGATCCTAACAATAGCTTGGAGGTAGCAATCGGTAGGAGAAATGAGTAGGAGAAATGAGTAGGAACCAGTAGGAGTAATCAGTAGGAGGAATCAGTAGGAGAAATCAGTAGGAGAAATCATTCGTAGAAATCAGTAGAAGAAATTAGGAAGATAAATTCTTATGGTTATCAACAAAAAAGTGAATCTTTGGAGTATAATTCTGTTTAATTTAATTTATTTTAAAACAAATCTTTTCACATCAAGCGAATTGAACAAAATTAAAATTAAATAGTAAAATTAAGGTGAGACTTATTTTTTCTATAAAATTTTGGTGCTCACAATACCATACATATGACAAATTAAATGGAAAGCCTACTTCATTGATCTTAAAGCATTTACATATTAAAAGATTTGTTTTTTTAAAAAAACATATAGATATATATTTCCTTTAATTTGACCTTGCAAGCATGAAAAGTTTGTAGTTTGAATGATTCCAGGAAGCTCGTTGAAGAAACGGTCCTGTTAGAACATTAACAACAGGATGAAGTCGTTGGTTCAACAGTACTCAACATGTTGAAAAAGGGCAGAGCAGATACTGATAGGTTCTTATATCATCTGTTCACGCTTCGTCTGTCACGACGGCCAAAGTGACATTAATGAAGGAGAAAACCCCTCTTCATTCAAAGATGAGAAGGTAGATCAAGCCTGCCACCGAGAGACTCCAGGACCAGTGACGCCGCCTCCAGCGCACAGCCCCAGTGAATGGTGACGCCAGCACCACCAAACCCGTAGTTGTGGACAACCTGTGCAGACGTGAGCACTGTCAAAGTTATGCATTGCAATCAGTGTCAGTATCAAACTGGTGTTTTAGTCTTCATGTCGGTATCAGAGTGTTTTATTCTTCATGTCAGCATCAAATTGTTTTATTCTCCGTGTCAGTATCAAAGTGTTTTGTTCTTCATGTCAGCATCAAATTGTTTTATTCTCCGTGTCAGTATCAAAGTGTTTTATTCTTCATGTCAGCATCAAATTGTTTTATTCTCCGTGTCAGTATCAAAGTGTTTTATTCTTCATGTCAGTATCAAAGTGTTTTGTTCTTCATGTCAACATCAAATTGTTTTATTCTCCGTGTCAGTATCAAAGTGTTTTATTCTTCATGTCAGCATCAAATTGTTTTATTCTCCGTGTCAGTATCAAAGTGTTTTATTCTTCATGTCAGCATCAAATTGTTTTATTCTCCGTGTCAGTATCAAAGTGTTTTATTCTTCATGTCAGTATCAAAGTGTTTTGTTCTTCATGTCAACATCAAATTGTTTTATTCTCCGTGTCAGTATCAAAGTGTTTTATTCTTCATGTCAGCATCAAATTGTTTTATTCTCCGTGTCAGTATCAAAGTGTTTTATTCTTCATGTCAGCATCAAATTGTTTTATTCTCCGTGTCAGTATCAAAGTGTTTTATTCTTCATGTCAGTATCAAAGTGTTTTAGTCTTCGGGTAAAATGAACCTCAAATTCAACCCAATTCAAATAATTTGTTGCTATTTATAGACCTACTGCGTATAAATAAAGAGGTAATCTATTCCCACAATAAGATTCTTGTTTACCTTTAGCGGCTGCCCGGAAACATTAAGCACTTCCTTCTCAAGGCGCACAGTGCTTCTAGTGGGTCGAAGACCGGCCCACTGGTCCACCGGTTTAGCTTTCTAGAGGACATTAGGTGTTATCTTTTAAAGTCACGAATGAAGATTAAATAATCTGATTCTTCATAGGAACCATAATAATGTACATTGTACACCTTTTCAGAGTTTGTAGGTTGTTTTACTTTGTTAAAACTTTGTTTTGTTGATTTTTATTTAATTTTTTGTAATCTTGAAAAGGGTTACCATTAGCTAGTTGTCTATATGTTTAGTTCAATTTAGATCACACTAAGGTGTTTTTGTATTGTAGTAAAAGCTTAATTTGGGCCATCAGAATCATGACATAGGTCATCATAAGGATGATATGGGTTACCATATGCTGCTTTGATCATGCGATACTAAAGATGAGCTTCTATTACGCTAAAGTATATTCATTATATTTTTTTTCCTTGTGCCGCCGTGCTGAGATGAACTTACAGCTAGTGAAGGGAGAACTTTCAAAGCCATGTCCCAAATCTTCTTCGAATCTCCCTCATCAATCTCTGTTCTCCAGTCTCCTTTCTGGGCCGTGCCACCAACGACTACGGTATTTCTTCTGGAGTAAAAAAAAAAAAAATAATAATAATAATAAATAGAAGGATTTCAAATGAAATTTTGATACAAGTATTATTTCTAGTTAATGATTGGGGAAACACCTGCCGACTGATGGACCGAATAGATTCAGCTATCAATTTTGTATTATGTCATTTCTGTTTTTTTTTTTGTTTGTCTACTTGGTACCGTATAATAATTGAATGTTTGAATTTGTGAACTATTTCTGAAAATGCTTTTATCAGCTTTGTGATTTAATTCTGTGTTAATGACTTGACGAAATCATTTGCATTTTCTCTTTACGCCTACAATTTACTTTTTTTTTTTGTAGATTGGTTTATTACCTGGGTAGAATATAACAGCAGTCTAATCCGGTTGGTGGTCTGTATTCATAAAAATGTTTGACCCATGGAGCCTCAACCTAAATGTAATCCAGAAAACAATTATGTTAGAGTAAATAAGTACTTTGACACCTTTTCTTTTTTTTTAAACATGAAAACTTATTTATATATCAAACAAACAAAAAATGCTAAATGGCTATTGAGTTAAGAACACCCATTTAAACATCAAAATAAAAATCATAACTCTCTAGGTACTTATGTATGTACGGCTGTAACGATGTTTTCAATAGGCGCGCAAAATACAATTGCAAGAAGTTAGCACTAATTTTTGTATAAAGTGGGTTACTTGAACTCATGTTTTGTCAAATAAACCTTAGTAGTTCACGCATTTCCGCCGCCATTTTTTTTTTGGGTGGGCTGTCTCTAATTCTAAATAATTTCTTGTACAAGGTTGAGGCACAACAAATGGCAAATTTTAAAATAATAAAAAAAGAGGCTAAATTATGACCTACCCTCCCTATCTCGCCTAATGACCTACCCTCCATATCTCCCCTAATGACCTACCCTCCATATCTCCCCTAATGACCTACCCTCCATATCTGCCCTCTAGTGGGAAATATTTGCTCATCTTTGAGAAGATCCGTGGCACCCAGACTACAACAAGTCACAAGAACGTCGCACCGTCCAGCAAACTGGGGACATGGGGAGTAGTTGACAAGTTGAATCAAACAGTTAGATCAAAGACGCGTGCATCCGTGGCTTGACTCAGAAGCGTAACTGGGTTTTTGACGCCCTTGGCTAATTTATTTTTGGCGCCCTTTTGTTTAAATAACATTTAAAAAATTAGAGTTTTAGCGGCGCCCTTTTGAACTGGCGCAGGCCGGCGCCTTTGGCAACTGCCCCAATGTCAAGCCGTTGTTACGCCACTGGCTTGATTTTAATCTTCCAATGTCTTTAATTCAATAAGATGTTCGTGAATTTTTTTAAAAATCATTACACTTTGGACTTCTTTTTTTAAACTTTAAAAAAAAAAATAGGTCTGTAAAATTAGAGCTGAATACAAAATAGAAAAATTACGAACCTCACTAAGACTTGTCACTTTTGATTTGCGGGTCTTACCTCCCTTTGCTAGGAACCTATCCAAGATAGATAAACGCCTTTATTGGACAAACCAAGTTAAGGCAACTTTAAACACTTCCCACTAATATTAATGGTATTGTGGTGGTACTTAATAAAAATAAAAAAAATTAAATATTAATAATCGAAACTAAAATAAGTAATAAGTAAAAATCATGGCGTTGCTCAGGTTCGTGCCCCCAAGGTTCGTGCCCCCTGGGACCGGCTGTGACGTGTGCGACAACCACGAACAAATTCTCCATGTCACCGAAAATGCCGCCCCTCAATATTAAAAAAAAAAAAGTGGTGCCCGGGGCGTACCCCCTCTACGACCACCCTTACCACGCCAGTGAGTACACGCCAGTGAGTACACGCCAGTGAGTACACGCCAGTGCGTACACGCCAGTGAGTACACGCCAGTGAGTACACGCCAGTGAGTACACGCCAGTGAGTACACGCCAGTGAGTACACGCCTGTAAGAAAGTGTGTATTTATTTTTAAAACCCTACCAAAATTCCATACGCTAGCAATATCAGAGTTGTAAAGCAATCATCTCGTTAGATTTTAAAGCAGTAGTAGTTTTTTTTTGTTTTTTTTTAAATGTACCTCTTCATCAGCCATTGTAGATATGGTGTGACGTCAACTTGTACTGTCGTGTAGAAGTAGCCCGATCTGTAAAATATATAGAAAATGAAGTGATTCTTATGTCTTTAAAAATCTGTTATTATATCATGTTACCTAATCGTGACCAGCATCCACGACAATATTAGACCTCCGGAAATTTGGGAGCTAGCATTTACAATGACAAACATGAATTATTTATACATGTCATTCATGGGATAAAGATAAACCATACATAATACAATCTTCTGTCTAATTACTCTACTTCAGCTTTTTGTCTAAGCTTGTATTTTTAATTTTGTTGGATGGCATGCAGTTAATAATATATTGTGGGCTTATCAGAGTGTGGACTAGGAGCATCAAGAGCTAAGTGGTGAAATCCTTCCATCTCTGTGGGGCGTTGTCCTGCCTCACCACTTCCTTCCACTCAGACCATCCATCCATCCTTGTGGTGCTACAGCCCATGTGGGGGTTTGTCCTGCCTCATCACTTCCTTCCTCTCAGACCATCCGTCTCATCCTTTTGGCGCTACAACCTATGTGGGGCTTTGTCCTGCCTCACCACTTCCTTCCACTCAGACCATCCACCCATCCTTGTGGCGCTACAGCCCATGTGCGGGTTTGTCCTGCCTCATCACTTCCTTCCTCTCAGACCATCCATCTCATCCTTTTGGCGCTACAGCCTATGTGGGGCTTTGTCCTGCTTCACCACTTCCTTCCTCTCAGACCATCCATCTCATCCTTGTGGCGCTACAGCCTATGTGGGGCTTTGTCCTGCCTCACCACTTCCTTCCTCTTATACCTAACTAGTGCTTTTCTTTTCCATGCTTGGATTCCCAGTTGCTGTAGATCTTTTTCCACATCATCCATCTAAACCTAGGTCTGCCTTTAAGCAGTTTTCCTTTGGGTTTTTGGTGGTGCACCCTCCTCACTCCTCCTCTGCTTTAAACAAAAAATTCTGTTACTACTGTGGGATCCTGATATAAACGATACACTTCCTGGTTGGTTCGTATTCTCCATCCACATTCCTCCTTTGGTGGTCCATAGATTTTCCTGGCTGGTTCGTATTCTCCATCCACATTCATCCTTTGTTGGTCCATATATTTTCCTGGTAGGTTCGTATTCTCCATCCACATTCCTCCTTTGGTGGTCCATAGATTTTCCTGGTTGGTTCGTATTCTCCATCCACATTCATCCTTTGTTGGTCCATATATTTTCCTGGTAGGTTCGTATTCTCCATCCACATTCCTCCTTTGGTGGTCCATAGATTTTCCTGGTAGGTTCGTATTCTCCATCCACATTCCTCCTTTGGTGGTCCATATATTTTCCTGGTAGGTTCGTATTCTCCATCCACATTCCTCCTTTGGTGGTCCATATATTTTCCTGGTAGGTTCGTATTCTCCATCCACATTCCTCCTTTGGTGGTCCATAGATTTTCCTGGTAGGTTCGTATTCTCCATCCACATTCCTCCTTTGGTGGTCCATAGATTTTCCTGGTAGGTTCGTATTCTCCATCCACATTCCTCCTTTGGTGGTCCATAGATTTTCCTGGTAGGTTCGTATTCTCCATCCACATTCCTCCTTTGGTGGTCCATAGATTTTCCTGGTAGGTTCGTATTCTCCATCCACATTCCTCCTTTGGTGGTCCATAGATTTTCCTGGTAGGTTCGTATTCTCCATCCACATTCCTCCTTTGGTGGTCCATAGATTTTCCTGGTAGGTTCGTATTCTCCATCCACATTCCTCCTTTGGTGGTCCATAGATTTTCCTGGTAGGTTCGTATTCTCCATCCACATTCCTCCTTTGGTGGTCCATAGATTTTCCTGGTAGGTTCGTATTCTCCATCCACATTCCTCCTTTGGTGGTCCATAGATTTTCCTGGTAGGTTCGTATTCTCCATCCACATTCCTCCTTTGGTGGTCCATAGATTTTCCTGGTAGGTTCGTATTCTCCATCCACATTCCTCCTTTGGTGGTCCATAGATTTTCCTGGTAGGTTCGTATTCTCCATCCACATTCCTCCTTTGGTGGTCCATAGATTTTCCTGGTAGGTTCGTATTCTCCATCCACATTCCTCCTTTGGTGGTCCATAGATTTTCCTGGTAGGTTCGTATTCTCCATCCACATTCCTCCTTTGGTGGTCCATATATTTTCCTGGTAGGTTCGTATTCTCCATCCACATTCATCCTTTGGTGGTCCATAGATTTTCCTGGTAGGCTCGTATTCTCCATCCACATTCATCCTTTGTTGGTCCATATATTTTCCTGGTTGGTTCGTATTCTCCATCCACATTCATCCTTTGGTGGTCCATAGATTTTCCTGGTAGGCTCGTATTCTCCATCCACATTCATCCTTTGGTGGTCCATAGATTTTCCTGGTAGGCTCGTATTCTCCATCCACATTCATCCTTTGTTGGTCCATATATTTTCCTGGTAGGTTCGTATTCTCCATCCACATTCATCCTTTGGTGGTCCATAGATTTTGCGGAGAACTTTTCTCTCGCATGTGTTTAATACGTTTTCTGCCGTTGTTGTTAGGGTCCAAATTTCACTGGCGTATGTTAAAACTGGTCTAATCACAGTTTAATAAATATTTGTCTTTGTTTTTCTTGTAATGTTTTTACTTTTGAAAGTGGTGAAATTATCAGCAAAACAATAAAACCTGTTGTGGTGGACGAGATATTCACAAGAGAATGTTCTGTAAAAATGTAATACAGTCAAAATGTTCCATCCGGTAGGATTTAGTCCAATTGACAAAGTAAAAGAAAGACATTTGAGAAGAAGACTATTACAATAATGAACTGAAGACAGAAAATATTACCGTGCATCGAGTTTCGGAAATCTGGACAACTCCCTGGGGGTCAGCTGTCTGAACCCGTCAACAATGTCTTTAAAAGGTTCATCCTCCTGAGAGAAAAAAAAAATCCACTTTTAAAATAATTCTAACACACTCAAAGTAAAGTATAAACACAACGGTGTCCACTGGCTATTAAACTTCCGCCACAGAATTACCAAAGCCCTCCCCCCCCCCCAATTGTCTGTCTGTCTGTGTCAATTACAACATTAATGTCCTTCCGGAATGTTTTCAATTGCCTCACTAAAATCTTTTTTTTGTGTGTATGGAATTTGATGATCCAGCCCANACAACATTAATGTCCTTCCGGAATGTTTTCAATTGCCTCACTAAAATCTTTTTTTTGTGTGTATGGAATGTGATGATCCAGCCCATCAAAAATGGATGCGCCGAAACTCATCTATTCCATAAATTCACTTCATCCACTTTAAAAGGCTCCCCCTTAAGCTTTGTTTATTATCATAGCGAAAAGGACTTTGACATAAAATTCAGTTGCTGAAACTGAAAGTGGTTCCCGGAGGGAATTATTTGAATTCGGGGGGGGGGGGGGAGATATTAAAAAAACTTGTTTTCACGCACCACAACATGTCAAGTTGGTTGTTTTAATGACATTTCTATGTAATGCTTTAACCTGCTGCCTGGTGTCGTTAAAAATTGGGGTTGAGGGGGGGGTATCAGATTCCTTAGCAGCATGATTGGAGAGCAAACTTTCAGACAGAGATTTTAAAAAAAAAAAAATATTTTTTTAATTGATGAAGGAGGAATTACAGAATTCTGTGACGTCACCATTTATTTTTTTAAAGCTGATTACCAAACAAAACAAAACCAATTATTTTTTCCCCATTGATTCGTTTCAAAATGACATTATTAAAGCTGGCACTTCTTGTTGATGACCCACTAAAATCTCACCTGTAGGTGACCAGCGATGATGGTGTAGCCAGACAAATGCTGAACACCAATTTCTCCTGCCAGGGGTGAGTAGGCCAGTGAGGTCAGATGGTCGTAGGTTTGAGTCGCGAACTTTCTGTCCTCGGAGAAGTAAACAAAAAAATGAGTAGTGTGTATACCGTCGCTTCGGACGCGTGGTCTTTGGATGTCTTACGAGCTCTACAAATCGTCGTTTGGGGGTGGGGAAATGGTGTAAGATTCACCAATTGGTGGGCAAATCAGCCAAGACACGTTCTACGTCACTTCCTTTGGCGTAAGGCAACTTACAAGACACGTTCCACGTCACTTCCTATGGCGTAAGGCAGCCAAAATCCTGCAGAGCCATCAGATGTCGTGTCAGGGGAGAACAACTCTGCTACAATCTCGACCTCAGCGTCAGGGCACAACTGCTGAACACAGATACCGCTGGCCAGGCCTCCGACGCCGGCACCGATGATGACCACCTTAGCAGACTATAAACAGGAGGGGAGGGCCAGGAAACACACAGATAGATTATTTCGGTAACTTTAAGACAAATACAAATTGCCAGAAAAGTTGTTCCGTCATTTTTCGCGGTGCGCAGGAAATGTGCGAAAACGAGTTTTGAAATGTTTAAATCTTTCAGTTTCGGCTTCGGTTTCGTCCGAAAACCGTTTATAACTCTCGGTCAGGTTTCGGTTTCGGATGAAAGCAGAAAATCACGTTCGGTCGGCCTCTAATAGAAACATAGTCATAGAAACAAGATGATAAGCATGGACATATTCGACATCTTACATTGAATGGTAGCAGTGTCATCGTGCGGATGTTTCAACCTTTTTTTTAAAAAGAAGATTCTTGGTTTCATCAACTTGAAACATGTGTCCTAAATTTATTTATTTCCGTTTTGTCCGTAAAAGTGTGGGGATTTCGAATAATTATTCGTAAATTTTATTTGAATGAGTTGGTGACGCGAATATAAGCACAAATATGATATGGCAAAATATATCTTTAAAATATGTATATAATATCTCTCTCTCTATATATATAGATATATAATCATCAAGTTACCTTTTTTGCAGCCATCCCTTGTTACAAGTAATCCCAATGGCTGTCACTGTCACATCACGAGGTAACGAGATGACAAATCAGTTTAAAGAGACCGTCAAGGTATTGAAGTTGTTAAGCTGAATTAAATTCTGGACCAATCAAATTTTTAGATAACAGAGATAATTATAACATATGATTTGAAAACTACTGTCAAAAGCATAAACAATGTTAGAGCAGGTGTTTCTTTTCTTCCGGTGGGGTGTGGGGGGAGGGGGGTCAGATTTTCGGTGGGCACGGCCAATTGGCCATGGGGCTTAGCTAACGGGGGCAGAAGGGGCAGAAAAACCCTGGCGCCAGTTTGGTGGGGCGCCAAAATGCGCTTTGCTGGTATTTAATGGATGGAAATAATGGATTTTATTTCAGAATATGGGGGGGGGGGGCTTAAGAGTGGATCCTGTCCCCTGGCGCTTCTGACAGCGTCGTAGAAAAGGGGCGGCATTTTCAGATATCTGCAGAGTTTATTTCGTGTCGGGAAATGTAATGCGCTTTGCTGGTATTTAATGGATGGAAATAATGGATTTTATTTCAGAATATGGGGGGGGGGGCTTAAAAGTGGATCCTGTCCCCTGGCGCTTCTGCCAGCGTCGTAGAAAAGGGGCGGCATTTTCAGATATCTGCAGAGTTTATTTCGTGTCAGGAAATGCGACCAAAACTATTGGCCCACCCATGTTGCCATTGATACTAGCTACGCAGCCAGGCAGTGTACCTAGCGGCACCAAAATTGTTGAAATTTGTTATTGGGAAGAAGGGCAGAAATCGAGGGCGCTGATGGCTCTTGAACGAAAAAAAAGGGGATGGGGGTGGTCTTGATTTCAACATCAAGAAGTGTATTTTGGAGTATACCTGAATTCAATTTTTCTTTTAGACTTTTTGATCAAGGTACGGAATTTTTTAAGCATCCGGGGGAGACATTATGGCGGCGAATGCCATACATAAACTGAATTCCCTCCGGTTGTGACGTTCCCCAGGAGAATGATTTGGCACAAGCTTAGATTCAATCCATACTGTAACATTGATCAGCCTGAGGGAAGGGGTGTAAAAATTGAGGGTTCCGAAGACTCTTGGGCAAATTCAAAATACACGGGTGCATTTTGGCGTAAACTTAAATGTATTGTTTCTTTAAGACAATTTTAAGGGGGCATGTCAGAGTTTCGGGTAAGGAGCGCCCCAATTAGCCATCAAGGACATTGCTAAATCCGCATCAACCTTGGAAGGCAGCTTATCTAAGTGCAGGGAGGGTGGGAACTCTGCCAACCTGTGCTGTCTTGATGCTAAAAAATGGCAGTCTAGGGGAGATAACCCCCAACAGAACTCTCCCGAGTTGCAGGCGGCATGACATCGACAGTGGAAACTCCTGCGGTGTCCCTGGTGTCAACAGGGCCGTATCAAAGAAGTGGGCGGCGACGAAGGGGCAATATACAAGGGCTCCATTTTCAGAGGGAGTCAAAATAGTAATTTTTTAATGAAAATTTTTTTAGTATATGCTTTTTACAAAAGAGGGCGCTCAAAATTTGGGCTTTGCCCCATCAGAGCTTATGCTTACCACGCCCCTAGGTTCCAAGATGTATCATAAACTTAAACCTTGAGTTCCCCTGCTTCGTGGAAATGGGTGGAAATAAAAAAGGGGGGGGGGTATTATTTTCAATAACAAAATCCTTAGGCACTGAGTTCTCCTAACCTCAGCGAAAACCACTCTATTGTCTCCCTTTGAGACGGAGAAATACCCCAACCCTCACCTTTTAACGATTTTTAAAAATTGAAGTGCAATTTAAATTAAAACAATCCTAGCTTTGCGGCACCTTAAACTAATTCAGGACACCCGTGAAAGAAAGATGACAGCGACGAGGAATGGAGGACATGAGCGACTTGATATTAATTTTGAAAAGCCAATTGTGTGTTGACTATTGTGACATTTGGATATATAGGCAATAGATTTAAATATAGCGATCACTGGTTGTTGGTGTTTGTCGCAAGTATTTTGTTTTACTGCTTGGAGAAGCGATGCAAGAAATGAGTAGGTACTTACAGACCGTGTAGCAAACCTGCTCCGTGTATGAATGTGGAAGAAATCTATAACACATGCTTCGCTTTACACAACCTTACCTCGACTACTTACGTGTGTAGTGGGTCAGTAGGGGACTGGGGATAGGTGTGTGTGTGTGTGGGGGGGGGAGACCTTATCCAAACAATGAACTGTGCTACACGCGTACAACAATTAACGCACTTTGGTGAAGGTTGTGACAGCACACTACACAAACACACTGGCTAGAGGCAACAACGGGAGACGACAGATTGACTTTGCCAAGAGCCCATAAATATGCTGTGGCGAAGTTAGACTAATGACTAAGCATAACTAGTGGGATCAGTGGGGTAGCTAGGGAAAGTGCCATCCTATGCGGCCCACAATATTAGTATCCCACAATGAGTGGCTGTCAGTGAGTTTTGCTAGGCCAAAAGGTCACAGAAAAAAGTCGCCGAATATCTTTGTATTATCCATAGTTTTATGTGTAAATCCATATGAATGTTTCTTGTAGCTTAAATATAAGACAAATGGAGTTAAGAGACCGGTCATTAGGAACTTGGTTTGATTCTCACTTTGGGTAAAATGTGTCTGTTATTTGTATTATGAATACATATTATAGTCACGCATTGATTAATTCTGTGATTTATTTATCATTGGTTGCCTTGTCGTGCATGAGACCAATAAAAACGAATATAACAGATTGAAGGACAATACATAGTAGTAAGCGATTGGGTGGAGGTTAAGCTCTCACCCAAAAGGATTGTCTTTTGATTCTTGCCTCAGATCTTCCTGAAACATCTCACTTGGTAAAGGAATCAAGGGAAAGCAAGAGGCGCTGCATTGTGGTAGTCGTTTAAATAATAACTGTAACCAGCCAAACCATCAATGGACTCAATCTTGTCAATGTGGCGTTGGAACGAAATATATCAAAATTCATGTGTTCCCAAATCTTGTCGGAATTCACCAGAGTGCTCCTCTGACTGTTCTCATAAAAAGAATTCAAAATTATTAATTTTTTTGTACAATGTTTTTTTTTTTTCAGACCTATGTATTAATTTATATATGTGATACACATCAGTGCACATATATTTGTGTCAATGTGTCTGATTTTCATATTTTCTTCCTATCAATCATCTTCCTGTGAACTTTGGTCAATCATAAACATTTCTATAGACTTTATCTCTAGTGGTAGTACAATGTTTTTCTGTGACGTTTTCCTCTGTGACTTTTCCTGTTAATTTTCTCCTGTGACTTTTTTTGATCACTTATTCCTGTTAATTTTTCATGTAATTTTTTTTCCTACAATCTTTCTGACACACCCACGAAAAAAACTGTGCAGTTAGCCAAAATGCCAACCGTCCCCACCCCCCACCCCCCACCGGACCCCTTTTTTTTTGCATACTCTCGAGAAGAGGACAAGGGGCCGTCCATAAACTACGTCACGCTATTTTTGACAATTTTTTAATCAACCCCCCCCCCTGTCACAAACTGTCACAAATCTCGGACCCCTCCCCTAAAGTACGTCACACTTTCGAACAAAAATTTTGTTTAATTAACACCTAAATTAAAATTTAATATAAAACACACTTCACTATTAAACTGAATTAAACTAAAAAAAATTCCACTGAAAAGAACTATCGCATTATTAAAATGACTTTAATAGTAGAATAGTTAATAGCGCTCCTAGCGAGAGGAATCATCAACAACACATTCAGGAGATACGTATTTCATGCTATTTTGACATAAAACTAATTCAAATGTTTCACAAAATTTTTGAAAAATATTGTAAAAGCTATTAAATTCTACTAAAAAAAATAAAAAAATTAATTAGAAATACAATTTAAAAAAAAAAAAATGTGTGACGTCACACATGGTCTGACACCCCCCCTCCCCCTGTCACAAACTGTCACACTTTCTTACACACCCTCCCCCACCCTCTGAAGCGAGACGTACTTTATGGACGGCCCCCAATCTGTTTCTTTCATTGAACCAATGTTTAGTATTGATCACGTGGTTTATGATGATTGTTTCCAGTTTTCAAGTTTGTTGTGGGAACCATTTTTTGGGATGTCTTGAAACTAATTTTAGTTATATTCACGTTAAAAGAGCCACATCACGACCATCACACGGCCATGTCAAGGCCACGTCACGGCCATGTCAAGGCCACGTCACGGCCATGTCAAGACCACGCCAAGGCCATGCTACTCACCGAACAAATGGGGCCACCTTTCTGCGGGTCAACGGCAAATACATACTTTAACAACCCCCAGACTAAGGGTGCAATCTATCCACTGGTGAGACCTAGCCACTGGTGAGACCTATCTACTGGTGACACTATCCACTGGTGCGACCTATTCACTGTTGAGACCTATCTACTGGTGAGACTATCCACTGCTGCGACCTATCTAGTGGTGAGACTATCCACTGGTGCGACCTATCCACTGGTGAGACCTATCTACTGGTGAGACTATCCACTGCTGCGACCTTTCCAGTGGTGAGACTATCCACTGATGCGACTATCCATTGGTGCGACTATCCACTGGTGTGACCTATCAACTGGTGAGACCTATCCACTGGTGCGACTATCCACTGGTGCGACCTATCCACTGGTGAGACCTAACCTATCCACTGGTGAGACCTATCTACTGGTGAGACAGTCCACTGGTGCGACCTATCAACTGGTGCGACCTATCCACTGGTGAGACTATCCACTGGTGCGACTATCCACTGGTGCGACCTATCAACTGGTGTGACCTATTCACTGGTGAGACTATCCACTGGTGCGACTATCCACTGGTGCGACCTATCAACTGGTGTGACCTATCAACTGGTGCAATCTATCCACTGGTGCGACCTATCCACAGGTGCAATCTATCCACTGGTGTGACCTAAACACAGGTGACACTTATTAACTGGTGAGACCTATCAACTGGTGAGAACTATCCATTGGTGCGACCCATCCACTGGTGCGACCTATCCATTTGTGCAACCTATCCACTGTTGAGACCTATCCACTTGTGAGACCTATCCACTGGCGAGAACAATCCACTGGTGAGACCTATCCACTGGTGAGACCTAACCTATCCACTGGTGCGAACTATCCACTGGTGAGACCTATCCGCTGGTGAGACCTATCCACTGGTGAGACCTATCCACTGGTGAAACCTATCCACTGGTGAGACCTATCCACTGGTGAGACCTATCCACTGTTGAGACCTATCCACTGGTGAGACCTAACCTATCCACTGGTGCGCACTGTACGCGATTATGTACGGTAAATAATTCAATGTTGTAAACTACATACCCAGAAACCCAGAACCGCGATGTGATTCACCGAATCTTATTGAAAGTAAGCTTACACACGGGCAAATGCTCATTAACCCACCACAGCCTGAAAGACTTTACGAACGTGTTAGAAAAGTCATTATCTCTCTCAGCTATCATGTCATCTGACCTGACCTGCTTTCGTGAGTCTAGGCTCTAGGTCAACTCATTTCAGTCAAAAGTTGTGTGCGTATATATATATATATATATATATATATATATATATATATATATATTTAGACACGGGGGGGGGGGGGGTTGTCGTTTAAGTGACCACTTATGATCTTTCCCTTATTGCCTTTGTCTAATGATGTATTTTTCAGCAGCAGATCTGAGCTGCTACCACACGGTTGATACATGAATAATATTATTATAAACCAGATAACATTTGAAATATAATTCCTTTTTTTAAAAAATATAACGATGTAATGTATATCTTGGTGTACAAAGGAAGTGGTGTAAAACAGAAGAAACCTTGTAAACTTGTAGATACATTTGAAGAGTCCCTGTATTCTCATTGTTGGACCGTCCCCATATGTTTGGCTAAACTTTTGCACAATAGTTCTATAATGAATTCGTCATATTGTTTTTTTTTTGGAAAGGAAAGCTGCACACTGCGCTCCATATGTCTCTATGAGTTTTTGACACCCCTGCGCTACGATTACCTTTACCTCCTCTGTCTGTGATAAATCGTGTACTCTTAGAACGTGTGCACCCTCAGAAGTTGTGTGCACCCTCAGAAGTTGTGTGCTCTCAGAAGTTGTGTGCTCTCAGAAGTTGTGTGCTCTCAGAAGTTGTGTGCTCTCAGAAGTTGTGTGCTCTCAGAAGTTGCTTGCTCTCAGAAGTTGTGTGCACCCTCAGAAGTTGTGTGCTCTCAGAAGTTGTGTGCTCTCAGAAGTTACTTGCTCTCAGAAGTTACTTGCTCTCAGAAGTTACTTGCTCTCAGAAGTTACTTGCTCTCAGAAGTCACTTGCTCTCAGAAGTTACTTGCTCTCAGAAGTTGTGTGCTCTCAGAAGTTGTGTGCGCCCTCAGAAGTTGTGTGCTCTCAGAAGTTGTGTGCACTCTCAGAAGTTGTGTGCTCTCAGAAGTTGTGTGCTCTCAGAAGTTGCTTGCTCTCAGAAGTTGTGTGCTCTCAGAAGTTGTGTGCACCCTCAGAAGTTGCTTGCTCTCAGAAGTTGTGTGCACCCTCAGAAGTTGTGTGCACCCTCAGAAGTTGTGTGCACCCTCAGAAGTTGTGTGCACCCTCAGAAGTTGTGTGCACCCTCAGAAGTTGTGTGCACCCTCAGAAGTTGTGTGCACCCTCAGAAGTTGCTTGCTCTCAGAAGCTACTTGCTCTCAGAAGTTACTTGCTCTCAGAAGTCACTTGCTCTCAGAAGTTACTTGCTCTCAGAAGTTACTTGCTCTCAGAAGTCACTTGCTCTCAGAAGTTACTTGCTCTCAGAAGTTGTGTGCTCTCAGAAGTTACTTGCTCTCAGAAGTTACTTGCTCTCAGAAGTTACTTGCTGTCAGAAGTTACTTGCTCTCAGAAGTCACTTGCTCTCAGAAGGTACTTGCTCTCAGAAGTCACTTGCTCTCAGAAATTACTTGCTCTCAGAAGTATCTTGCTCTCAGAAGTTACTTGCTCTCAGAAGTTGCCTGCTCTCAGAAGTTGCTTGCGCTCAGAAGTTGCTTGCTCTCAGAAGTTACTTGCTCTCAGAAGTTGCTTGCTCTCAGAAGTTACTATCTCTCAGAAGTTGCCTGCTCTCAGAAGTTACTTGCTCTCAGAAGTCGCTTGCTCTCAAAAGTTACTTGCTCTCAGAAGTTGCCTGCTCTCAGAAGTTGCCTGCTCTCAGAAGTTGCTTGCTCTCAAAAGTTACTTGCTCTCAGAAGTTGCCTGCTCTCAGAAGTTGCCTGCTCTCAGAAGTTACTTGCCATCAGAATTTGCGTGATCTTAGTTCTTGGATGCTTTAAGAACTTGCGAGTTTCTGAAAGGAAACTGCCCCTTGATTTGTACACAATTTAAAGATAATTTATACAAGGCTTTATTTACACTGACTGATTCATTAAATACATTTTATCCTCCCCACCCTTAGACTACTGTGGTGTTATAGATTGTTCGTTCAATAAAACATGTAAGATGGGTGGTGGAATTTCTGCTTGTATGTTAAATGTTAGTATTACTATCATTATTTTTTAAAATAATTTGATCTGAAGATGAAATCATCTCAAGTATCTTTATTTTCTTTCCAACTTTTAAAGCACGGTACGTTTGGACCGACCACCGCGTTCCCACATCGTCTTGAAAAGTAGGACAACCAGGCAGCTGAACAACTGAGCCAGCTCCGTCATGGCCAGGACTGAGAGACCCATCCAGAGGCCGAGGGCTCCCCCTATGTCTGAGAAGAACTGAGTTGCCTGGATGGGAAAATTCAAATGATTAATTATAATCAAATGTCATTCTGAACTCCTTTTTTTTCCTGTGACAAGTTGTCGTTTCTAGAAAGAAAAAATAGATAAATGGCGCTTAGAGTAAGACCCTATGCCACTTTCTCTTTGCAGCCGTGTATTCTGCAGTTAGAATTAATTTTTAAAAATTCAGATAACATTATCTCAGTCTGGTCACTGAATGAACAGCAAGTATCTAGATTTGACCTGGATTGTGTGACAGGGGCTGGAACTGTTTATAGCCAAGGCTCCTTGACATGTCCAGATAGTACAATAATAATTAATGTAAAAAGTCAAGGTCCGATATGCAACGCTCTACTGTAATTTATTTATCTACTATACTATACATGGGCGCCAGCAGGTAGGGGCAAGGTGGGCTGCCCCCCCTGGATTGATTGGATACAAAATTGTAGACAAAAATAGACAAAAATGTATTAAAGTAAAGAGAAAATAAAGAGAAAGTAACTAAGCTGATGTCCTGTCCGTTCGTTCACCATACACATACGCTACAGTAAATTAAAACTATATTAAAACATTACTAAAAAAATCCCCCCCCTGGAAAGTTAATCGATTTTTTGCCCCCCCCCCTAGAAAGTTTTCTGTGGGCGTCCATGATACTATATGTTACTACTGTACTATATTTATCTATTGTACTATATTTATCTACTGCTATCTACTGTACTGTATGCTTCCACTGCTTTCTACTATATTTCCCCACTGCTATCTACTGTACTATATTTATCTACTGCTATCTACTGTACTATATTTCCCCACTGCTATCTACTGTACTATATTTATCTACTGCTATCTACTGGTATCTACTGTACTATATTATCTACTGCTATCTACTGTACCATATTTGTCTACTGATATCTACTGTGCTTTATAATGCTATATTTATCTACTGCTTTCTAACGTTTGCCATGTACAAAATTTATGTCTACCATTTTAGCAGTTGTATTTTTGTGACTACCTCATAGCTTGGGATTTCTGTGATGTTCTCATAGTTGAGGTCCTCAAAATATATGTTTAGCTTGATAAAATTTTGACTGAAATTAAGAAGGAAACAAAATCTCCATGAGACGAGATCCAAGGAAAAAAATAGTTTTTTAATTATTTTTTTTATTATAATGATTTATCAGTTAACAAACGGAAAGGGAAATTGTATTCTACGGGAATATTCTTTTTCCTTTGTTAACCATTATTCTTTGGTTATGGCTTAAAAAACCAACATGCCTCATTAGGGGGGTCAGGTAAGTTATGTTACTACTTCCTGTTCCTGGCAGTTATAAAAATAATTGACCTGCTTGCCATTTACCCGAGTGGCTAACTTAAAATAACTCCATTAACAACTTGCCCACCTCCAGAATTGGTTTAGGCATGTATTGGAATTGACGTTTTTTGAAATTTTACAAAAGAAAATGCTGGGTGTTGAGATGTGTCAGTTTGTGACGTAGAGGGGTTTTATTGACCTGTGAGTGCATTGATGTAATTTGTTTACCTGTGTGAGAAGTCAATGACCTGCTGATCATAACCAGGGCTGCCACTCAATTTTCTTTTAATTTCCAAGATTTGGTCAAAACATTTCCCAAGATTTCCCAAGATCATGAAAATATATAAGAGTTTTTTTTTTTTTTTAAAGGATCTTGGGAATTTTCTTTAAAAGTGAGTTTTGGCCCTGAATGGGGTAGTGAATTCCCAAGATCTTGGGAAATTTCCCAATGTGTGGTAGCCTTGATCATAACCTCAAGATCTTATCCCTAACATCGTTCCATTAAGCCCCTTGACTATGACTCACGCAAACTTCCGGGGGTCAGTCTTGCGGTAAATGGCACACTCTTCTGGACTTCTGCTCGCACAAAGGGCCTCAACTAGCACATCCTGTGTGCAATGATATTTATTGTTTAGTCAGGCCCTTTAAAAGAATAACATTTTTATTCTTAACTCTCTAACTTTCTGTGCGTGATTTAAAAAAAAAAAAAAAGAATAATAAATTTGGTGGTGGGGAGGAGAGGGGGGGGGGTGTGTTGACGTCACGCTGGACATGCTAATTGGACAAAAAATCTACCAACAACATACCGAAAATTCATCAGTTGGCCATTGGCGCATAGAAATGCTTTTTGTGTAGAGGACCTCACTGGGAGATGACAGAGGAAAGAAAAGAATGTTGAACACATCATGTTTGAATGTTGAGATGTCACGTCATGTCTAGATGTTGAGAATCACTTATCTTTCAAACCATTTCTTCAAATGTGTGTTAATGTAGGTATAATAGGATTTTGAATACCGTAAATCCAGTTATGATAAGAAAAAGTAAAGCGCTAATGAAGAAAAAAAAATGTATTATTTCTCAAGGCTAAAAAAAGTATGTTCTGGTGCCATGGTTCTCAACCTCCCTAATGCCGCGACCCTTTAATACATTTCCTCATATTGTGGTGACCCTCAACCCTAAAATCATTTTCGTTGCTACGTCATAAATATGTGCTTTGCGATGGGTTTAGGCGACCCCTGTGTAAGGGTCGTTCGACCTCCAAAGGGGTTGCGACCCACAGGTTGAGAACCGCTGGTCTAATGGGTCCTGGAAATATGCACCACTATGGTGTGTTTTATTATAACCAAATTGTATCTGCTTTTGTGAGAATGTTTTTATACAAATGCGAAACAAAGCGCCTTAACAGACATTTAAAAAAAAAAGCTTAAAGACTTATCGGAGCAGGCGATCTTATCGGAGCAGGCGATCTTATCGGAGCAGGCGATCTTATCGGAGCAGGCGATCTTATCGGAGCAGGCGATCTTATCCGATACGTCGGACCGGGGAGGGGTAATTTGGGGGGGGGGGGGCATAAGAGTCTAGACTCGCCCTGCTGACGCCATTTCTTAATGTAATGTAACATCGGAGCAGGCGATCAAGCAAAAAATCAATTGAGAAAACTAATTAATATTTTTAAAATGTGCTTAAATTCTTGTCAGCCACGTGGGCTCATATATGTATGTATTAAAAGGTACCCTTGACACCGACTTACCTGCAGGGATTCTCACATCGACACTCCAGTTCCTTGGTGACGTATTGTCTCAGTGTGGCCAGCATGCATCTCAACTCTGTAAGAACAGAGAAGTGTTGGGGTGCCACAGTAATGAATAAACCACCATGACCATTCACAAAGACAGTGTGTTTGGCCAGTAATTACACAAGAACTAGGACGCAGCTAAACATTTTGTTCTCCTTTTACTGCCACACTATGAGTTTAAATATTTACTATGGTTGTAAAATCAGCTTTTGTAGCAATCGTATCTATAATGTAAGAATTTGATGTTTAAATCCTTCATATTAACTTCGTTGTTGTTGTTGTTGTTTTTTCCGTTGATGGCTGGCAAAATCTTCGGAAGGCTATTTGACCCACTTCCCGTCAACCTATCGAGCTGAAACTTGGCACATAGACTCGTTGCCGATGACAATACATTCTATCAAATTTTCAGAAAACAAACACCACTTCTTTAAAACGTTGTGTGATTCAGTGGTGAACATAGAGGGAAGGGGCGGACAGGGGGGCGCGACAGCCCCGGGTGGCACTCTTGTGTTATAGAAACATTCTTTACATGCTGTGTGTGTGTGTGTGAGGAGGTGCCTTTTATTGGGGGATTTCGGCCCGGGGGACACTTTGTGAGGGTGCGCCGTTGGTGTGATCTGAAGAATTTGAGAACCTCTCTCTCAAATTAAATACGACGGAACGGCTGTCCGTGCTCATGACGACGTTTCGCCACTCCTGGTTGCTTCCCTCATCGCGTTTAAAACCGGGGGTGCATTAAGTCAAGCCTTCATTTACACGCAAACCTTTCTCTGTAGAACACGCGTGTCCGAACTCTTTGTTGTGCAGTCTGTGTGTCTCCTCGTCTTGGCTGTCATGGCAACCGCAGTGCTGTTGTATGAGGGTCTGTTCGCACACGTGTTGGCAAGTCTGTGAAGGCGATTAAAGATTTTTTTTTTTTTTTAAGTTAATATTTTTACCAAACAAGTTTTTCTGTTCTTCTGTTTTGTGCTGTTGTGAGGTTAGATGTTTGAATTGGTTAAATTTTCTCACTCAAACTGGACTTTAAAAAAAAAATGATTTTTTTTTTTTTTTAAGTTAATATTTTTACCAAACAAGTTTTTCTGTTCTTCTGTTTTGTGCTGTTGTGAGGTTAGATGTTTGAATTGGTTAAACTTTCTCACTCAAACTGGACTTTAAAAAAAAAAACAACCATTTTAAATGCTAATGGAAGCTTTAGGTATCTTCTACTGGTTATAGAAATAAGCACTCTCTATGAGGAATGTAACATTTCTGATGGAGGAAAAGAAAGAAAAAAGTGTGTGTGGTGGGTGGGAGGATGAATTTTGTTAATGAATTATTTGTGTTAATGCCAAGCATGAGTTTGTTATATTTTATGTTATCAACTGTACTCTATTTATCTACTGTACTCTATTTATCTACTGTACTCTATTAATCTACTGCACTCTATTCATCTACTGTACTCTATTGATCTAGAGTCCATACGATTGACTTGATCGATCCGTTTCGGGTATGCCATCAAGATCTCAATGTTTCGCGGTCGATTTAATCACGTGGTCTCAGTGGCGTGACCTATGACCCCCCCCCCCCCGACTCACCCGTCTCGTGTAGACGGTACCGTAGCGCCTCAGGAACTCCTCCCCGTCGTCGCAGACGCCGTAAGGTCTGCCCAGTCTTGAGA